TGGCTGAACTAACCCTTTAAACCCCCCAAATAGAAATTGTATGAATTTATGCATACATTTATGCATTTGGCAGACACTTTTATCCAAAGTGACTTACAGTGCTCTTATTACAGGGACCCCAATCCCCCTGCAGCAACCTGGGGAAAAGAGCCTTGCTCTAGGACACACCAGTGGTGACGACTGCAGAGATCGAACCAGTAACCTTCTGCTTACCAGCTCAGTGCTTTAGCCCACTACACCACAAAAGTAATGAAGCTATATCAAAAATTAGCATGTAATTGTAAACATATGAAATGAAATTTGGCAAGAAATGGAATGCTGACAGCATGAGATGTACAACGTTTTACTCTGTGTAAATGTTTTACAGGTAGTGGTGCTCATGGAGTGCAGCACACAGATGTTTGGAGCAGACACAGCAGCAGTCAGATTGTCCCGCACATGTTCAAGGTTTTGTGTTTCAGGGGTGTCATCATGATCTTCCTCATCCTCTCTGTGCACTCAGGCAAGGACAGCCTTGATGTCCCTTTCCCATCCATGATCAGATTCAGTCTGACTGCAGCAACGAGGGATGTGATGAACAGCAAAGACAGGTGAAGGTGGACACGGTGGTCAGCTGCTTCATCAGAATAAAGCTGCAGACTGTGTTGAGATGGCAGTACGATGTGGATTCACTGCCTGTAAATACATCATTGTTAGAAAAGTTTGAATAAAGCTTTGTTACATGTGTTGTCGACTTTGTTGTTGATTTTCATGGTTACTTTTATTCATTCTTTTACTCATTCATGTTTCCTGTTGTTGTCAGTAAATAAAATGTAATTTACTTTTACTTTTAGTCATTTAGCAGACGCTTTTATCCAAAGCGACTTACAAATAAGAAAAAGTAATTAAGACTAAAAGCTAAAACTCTATAAATACTATATATATATATATACACACACACACACACACATTAATTACTTGACTGAAAATTTAGATGTATTCACCTTGGCTGCATTTGTCTAGTGTGTATTCATGCATAGCCATGGCATATGACAAAACAAATTACATTTAGCTTGTTTTACTAATTAATTAATTTTTGGTCAGCATTTATCATTATTGTAAGTGTTGGGGTGGGCTAGCAATGCATTTTGGGGTAATCTTATTTTTTAAGTAGTAATACTTACATTTTTTGAGTATAATATCAGCAGTCTACTCCAAAGGCGAGATCGTCAAGCAGCTGATCGAAGGAGACCTTTGTGCAGACATTGCAAACGCTGCAGAAAACTGTACTAGGTAGGGTTGTGGAGTTACTGATGCTGTGAGGGGTTAGTGCACCTCTCTTATCTTCTTTTTATTATTATTACTGCAGAACTTTTAATTACTTATTACATAATAGAAAACATAAATACAATGGGTTTGCGTACATCCTTGTATGAGAATATATACAGAAAAAAAGGCAAAACTAGAAGGGTAAATATCTTTGAATATAAAAACTTAAATCAACCCAAAATGTATTGTACAAAAGGCAGCTGTTTCTCCAACAAGACCACAAAATTGGCAAATTTCATCAACATCAAAATATTTACAGATAGAGGTTATTAAACCTGTCGCTCGTATCTTTTAAGTTGTTGCGCTTGTAACATCTTAAGTCACATGATAACGTCAACATGGTGGATGATGTATGGATCGCATTCATACTCAACGAGATTTGGCTGTAGAGTACGTACTCTTTTAGCACTCGTTAAAGGGTTAGTTCACACAAAAATGAAAATTCTGTCATTAATTACTCACCCTCATGTTGTTTCAAACCCGTAAGACCTTCGTTCATCTTCGGAACACAATTTAAGATATTTTTGATTAAATCTGAGGGCTCTCTGACCCTCCCATAGACAGCAAGGTAACTACCACGTTCAAGGTCCAGAAAAGTACCAAGATGATCGACAAAGTAGTCCGTGTGATATCAGTGGTTCAACTGTAAAGTTACGAAGCTACGAGAATACATTTTTGCGCAAAGAAAACAAAAATAACGGTCTTATTAAATTAAAGGTCCCATATTGTCAAAACTGAAATTTCCTGGCTTTTTTCATGATAACTGAGGTATAGGTGCTATGTAACTACCAAAGTTTCAAAACAGTCAATCCACAGTCAAATGCACACAGTCTGCATAAAGTAGCGGTGATTTTTCACGAACCGTTGTGACTTCCGTAAAAAGGTGACGTCAGAACAACACAGTCACCGCCTTTAGTAACCACCCCAAGCACTGCCCACAGTCCCACTCTCCTTTTGCCAAACAACAACACGGAAACATGTAGAGAAAACGCTGTTCAGTCTGGATGTCAGGAAACTACATCATTAATTACCATTCTGAAACATCCTGTTGTGAGAGAGGAGCTGTAAAAATATATTGAGATGGTTTTTGGTACTTATACCGCAAATATATATTCTTAAGGACATCAAGACTTAAAATAAAACTCCAGAAATGTGTAAAATATGTGACCTTTAGCAAGCGTGTGGCGGTGTCATGAACACGCGTCCACAAGTGACGCCGTAGAGACGAAAATGTGGAATGAAGTCGTTATTTTTGTTTTCTTTGCGCAAAAAAGTATTCTCGTGGCTTCGTAACTTTACAGTTGAACCATTGACATCCCTGGCATACTCTTTTCAACATACTATGCTTTGGGACACACTTATTCTAATCTCACATACTATTTAGTATGGATAGTATGAACATTGAGACGCAGGGACGGACGTAGGGTCCATGACGTCACTGGTAGTTTTCTGAAGTGCATTTTTTAAGCCTAAAGTGGGCGGAGCCGACCGTCGCCATCTTGGCAGCGCGTCACTCCCGGATAATCTAAAATGGGCAAAAAGGCGGGATGTGGGTGAAGCTGAGGTGCCTGGTTGCTGAAAGCAAGCACGTCTATGGTGACAGCAGTGCTGCCGTGCAAAGACAAAACACCATACCTTCGTTTTTGGTCGAAAATGAGTTATTGATAATTTTGGGACATATGACCTCCTTTATCAATAAGTATCTTGGAGAAAAGCCCCGGAGAAAAACCAAGGCACAACTCAGTATCATCAGTTACCGCTCTTTGACTTTGTTTTAGACCGCTCAAATTAAGTTATGGTGCTCTGCATTTATTTAGCCGTTCGTCAATATTACTGTGCCAGCCTGGAGTTATACGGTATTCTGCCTTTGTTTTACTGTCTATTAAAATCTGCAGCGTTTAAATTACGGTGTAACTTGTGTACGTTCATATCTGTCGGCAATTCTTTAGACAAACAAATGAGATAGATCGCGATCTCTAACAAACTGCTGTAGCACTGTAAACAAGCAACGACTAGATAACTTGGCAACAATAATTAATCGTAAATAATCTTTAAAGTTTTTTTTTTTTTCAGATGCCAGCTGTCAGTCTGGGTCTACCTACAACAAGTACACTTTTTGAGTATCTGTACTTTACTTGAGTATTATTTTTCTGGAAACTTATGACTCTAACTTCACTACATTTGAAAGAAAAATATTGTACTTTTCACTCCACTACATTTCTATCAAGATTATTAAGATTATCAGTAATCACTCTTGGGGCTAGCCTACATGAAGTGATTTCCCAGCATTTTTTGAGCACTGACCAGTTCCAAATGTGATATTTATTTACAACAATTCAATAATAAGAAGTTAATATTGTGGTTTATATTAGACACAATATTGTCTGATTTTGCTAAATAAGTGAAAATATTACCTATAAAGCCACAGAAGAACTGTTGTGCGTCTCCTAATAAAACACAAAAGGTGTTTGACTGAAGCAGCACTGACTGCACAGACCATTCTGGGTATGACATCAAAGACAGCAGTTTCACTGTCCACTCTGTTCAAATGTGGATGAATGGCTATACATAGATGTGTCCAGAGCTGTGTGAGATCACTATCATCCTGCTTTTGTGGGGGTGGGTAGGGGTGTTAAATAATATTTTTTTTTTTTTACATTGTAAAAGCTCTTTATTCCAAAGATACTACAAGCTAGTCAGTGTATTCAGTAGGTGTAATGTATTGTAAGTTGCTTCAGAGGTATTGCAAGTATTACATACAATAATAATAAAACAGTGCTGTAGCGAATCAGCTCATGGGGAAATATGATACTCACATTCCATTAGGTCGTAAATGTATCTGGTCTAGCAAAGGTGTCGTGGTTGCCATGGTAACCAGTGTCCTGGGCCTCGTTCACAGACATCTTGGCACCCAGTATGTTTATTTGGTGAGGGGTCTGTGAATGTTTGTTAATCTAATGAATAATTGATTTGTTAAATCAAATGAAAAATGGTGTGTCTGATTGGTCCAGACGCTACAGTGCATTGACATAAACAAGGAAATGTACTTTTAGTACTTTTAAAAGCAAGTACTTCTGTACTTTTACTTAAGTTAAAATCTATCTTTACAACTTTTAAATCTATCTTTACAAATTTTACTTGTAATGGAGTAATATTTGACCAGCAGTACCTGTACTTTCACTTAATTAATGGAGTTGTGTACTTTGTCCGCCTCTGATTATGGGACAAAAAGCATCTTTCGCTAATGACAGCCATTTAAAAGTAGCCATATGTTCTGATTAATTTTTTCTTATGATTTTTAGCATTTTCAAATTTTCATTATATGTTGTTTAATATTCAATGTTTGGAGAAGCTCTACACAGTTCTCTCCATAGGAATATTATATTAATTATTCTTTCATAGACTTATTAAATCTAGTAATATAGGCAATTAAATCTGGTAAAAATATATTTTAAATAACACTAACATCTTTTTTTTTTCTTTGAATGCATTCATTCTGTAAAACAAAAATATGCTTGACAAAATCAGTTAAATAAGACTGAAATAGAAGGTCAGCTTTTCCTGTGATGAGGGCAGTGACACCTGAACCTAATAACTGTATATTACATGTTCCCATGACAACTGATTGTCTGACAATTGGCATTAGCAGGCACTATAAAATGTCCAGTTCAACAGCACTAGTATGTGCTGTGGGGGCGACAAATGTGTCTCCTGATTTTGTATGGGTTTTGTTAAGGGTTTTTTTGTTTTGTTTTTTTGCTGAACATGGAGGGTACCACTGTCCAACTCTTAAGGTTTACTTTTAATTTGTTGTTTCTGTCCTTTATTTTGTTTATTTCTATAAAGCAAAGTGTGTTTAACAAGTGTTTGTGTTGCAGATTTTCTCTAGCACTTTTTGGCTTTTGTGTCCATGGGCATATTGGAAGTGGTAAGTCTTATTCCGTCAAGTTCTATTAGAGATGGGCAGATGAAGCCTTGTGAAGCTTTTGAGGGTTCTTCCTGATTGGACCAAAAAAAGATTCAAAGCTTTAAAGCCTCAAAGACAGATCCTACCACTGACATCTAGTGGTCAGCTGCAATTATAGTAGCCACTTTCAAATGATTAACAGCTTGTTGATCCCAATTTCAACAAAAGCAATACTCTGCAATAGCAGCTGTCTTCATTCTGAGATTCATTGTCCACGCATGACAGTGTTGCTATGACGCAGGGAGGGAACACCAAGCATTTCATGTCTCCTTATAATGAATGATGCCACACCAAAGCTGCGAATCAGTCACCTCGCTTCGGGTGTTTCATTGACATAAGAAGCATCAAACGTCATCGGTCACGTGATCACAGATTTGATACAAGCCTCGACAGTTTTTCAAACCAGTCTGCTTCAATGGAGTAAAATGGGCTTTGGAGCCTCGGTGTCAAATGTCCCATCTCGAAGTTCTATAATTCAGGTTTGTCAAGATGTCTGTTTGACTGTCTTTTTTTTTTTTTTTTGTACTTGTTTTAGTTGGTGGCTTTAGCAATGGAGGTTATCCTGGGTACTATGAGGCTGGCCTCCCAATGCAGGATGATGTGAAGCAGCAAAGTTCCAGCTGGTATGACCAAGGAGTTGTATCAGATCCCTTTAGGCCACTAAGATCCAAGGATTTCACTTATGGTGCTACAGTTAATGGTTTACATAACCGTGTAAGCTATAGCCCTCAAACTGGCTCCTATGGCTCTGGTCCAGTGACAAGTGTATATAACATTGGTTCTGAATCTGATGTTAGAAGGCAAAATCCAGGCTCTCTGATATCTCCAGGTGGCAGTTTTGTTTCTGGTTCTCTAGCCACTGCATTGAGTACAAGTGTGAGAAGTAAGACCGTACCCAAGCCGGCACAGCTTAACTATCAAACTGTAGTGCAGACTAGTAATGAGCCTGTGGCCTCTAATAGCCAGCAACCAGTGCAGACTGGCTCCCAGTCCAGTGGTCTACTGTTAGCTAATGCCCAGTCCTTTGTCAAGCCCCAGAGAAGTAGACTTCAAGTTGGTTCCAAGCTATTTTCTGGTGGCAGGCCCATCCTGAGTTCAAGTCTTGGCCAGCAGTCAGCACAAGCCAGCTACCAATCTGTGTCCCAACCCAGTGGCCTGCACTCGGCTCAAGCCAGCTACCAGTCTATGCAACAGCCTAGTGGCCAAAAACCAGGACTGACCCGATACCAGCCTGTCTCTCAGCCCAGTGGCCTGCAGTCGGCACAAGCCAGCTACCAGTCTTTGTCCCCGCCTAGTGGCCTGCAGTCAGCACAAGCCAGCTACCAGTCTATGCAACAGCCTAGTGGCCAAAAACCAGGACTGACCCGATACCAGCCTGTCTCTCAACCCAGTGGCCTGCCGTCAGCACAAACCAGCTACCAGTCTTTGCCCCAACCTAGTGGCCTGCAGTCGGCAAAAGCCAGCTACCAGTCTATGCAACAGCCTAGTGGCCAAAAACCAGGACTGACCCGATACCAGCCTGTCTCTCAGCCCAGTGGCCTGCAGTCAGCACAAGCCAGCTACCAGTCTATGCAACAGCCTAGTGGCCAAAAAACAGGACTGACCCGATACCAACCTGTCTCTCAGCCCAGTGGCCTGCAGTCAGCCCAAACACGCTACCAGTTTGTGCCCCGGCCTGATGGCCAAAAACCAGGACAGATCCAATACCAGCCCATCTCACAGCCTAGTGGGTTGCAGTCGGCACAAGCTAGCTACCAGTCTGTGCCCCAACCTACTGGCCTGCAGTCGGCAAAAGCCAGCTACCAGTCTATGCAACAGCCTAGTGGCCAAAAACCAGGACTGACCCGATACCAGCCTGTCTCTCAGCCCAGTGGCCTGCAGTCGGCACAAGCCAGCTACCAGTCTTTGTCCCCACCTAGTGGCCTGCAGTCAGCACAAGCCAGCTACCAGTCTATGCAACAGCCTAGTGGCCAAAAACCAGGACTGACCCGATACCAGCCTGTCTCTCAGCCCAGTGGCCTGCAGTCGGCACAAGCCAGCTACCAGTCTTTGTCCCCACCTAGTGGCCTGCAGTCAGCACAAGCCAGCTACCTTTCCAGTTTTGGTTCCCAACCCCTAGAGCAACCCAGTAATGTACAACTTGCTTCAAGCTATGAGTCTGTTGCAGCCTGACCTTCAGGATACAGCACCACTGCGCTCCCAGACTACTCAAAATGAGCACTTCTCGCCAGGCATGTTGAGGCTGTTGCAGCAAGTGAAGTCATAGCTGCACAGTTGATTTAACTTCATTTAGTGTGTCTTTGTTGTTTTTGTTTAACAATAAATATCACATACCAACATGGTTTGTGTTTGCTGGGTTCTTTTTCGGTTATCTAAATCCGCAAGGGCTTTAATGTGGTCTACTGATGCAGTAATATTTAATGTTGGGTGTATGATGTCTTCTAGGAAAATGGGGGAGGGGGGTAGAAACACTTGTCTACTGGCAGTTCAATATCTTTGACCTGTGAAGTTCTATTGTTGGCATTTACCTCATCTTCGGTTTCCTTTGTCTGTTGTTCTCTGTGGTTGTGTAATCAGTTTCAAAGGGTAAATTATTTTAAGAGCTCTTTGTACTAATTTACAACTGCTTGGGTTAAGGCACGATCGCAGGCTGGTTATGCAAAAATCATGGGTGACTAGTTTCTGTGTCCTCTACAGGTTGATTGTACATTGACATCACTAGTAGGTGTTTCTCTAGCTGCTTGTCGTAGTGTGCCTATAAATCCTAAAGTCCTTTGTTTTTTTTTTTGTTTTTTTTTAACCGCTTTTATTTCGGTCATATCTTAACAGGTAAATGTTCTTACAAAGTCAAACAGCAGTTTTAATAACGTTTGAACAAATGGGATGAGTCCCTGAACAGAGAGGGGTGTCAATTTCAAAAGTTACATTAAATATCTTGTGTAGCCACTGGTTGCTTTAAGCACTACAGTGCATCACATCCTCATGGACATGGAGATTTGCCAGTTCTCGCTTTGAGATATTACCCCACTTTTCCACCAAGGTACGTGCAAGTTCTCAAACGTGTCTGGGGACACATGGTTTGCCATTGCAAGAATGATCAGCTGTCCTTGTCTCCCTGTAGCACTGTCTTATAGGCTTCTTACAATACATTATGGACATTGCAGTTTATTGCTCTGGCCACATAAGCAGTCCTCATGTCTCCTTGCAGCAGGACTATGGCATGTTCGACCAGATGATCAGGGACCCTGGACGTCTATCTTCTGTGATTTTATTTTATTTTTTTTGGAGTCAGTAGAAAGGTTTCTTTACTGTCCTAAGTTATTATCTGCCGCCTGTAAACCGTGAGTGTCTCAAAAACTGTTCCACAGGCGTATGTGCAATTATTTATGGTTAATCCTTTTCAATAAAGATCTGTGAAGCCCAAGTCTGGACAGTGCTTGAGACTCAGTGTAGGCTTTATTTGACTGTAATCTGATTTCTCTCCTTGCTCTTCTCCACACCTTGCCCTTGGGATGAAGTTTTTGTAATGGTCACACAAAAAATGTCTAAATGAACTTTTATTCAGAAATACATTGATCATAGAGGTGTATTCAAGTCATTGTGTTGATGAATTAAAAGTTATACAAAAAATATTGGCGCTTTTCCACTGCATGGTATGGCTCTGCTCAGTTTGCGTTTCCACTGCAGTTTAGTACCGCTTTAGAGTTGACGGGATTATAGACATGTCGTTATAGTTGCGCCGCCTCTACTGCCGTGACCTCCTGAAAAACTTTAATTCCGCGTCGTCCCATCAAGCTCTCGCTGGATCCGCTCCTCGGCTATCAGCGAAACTTCCTGGTCTGTACTTCCCCAACAGACCACGAAACAGCCATTATTTTGTTGTTTAAAAAAGGTGTGCTCTGTTCAAAACTGTTGCTTTCATTAAAAAAAAGTTCAGTTCGATCCTCGCTGGCTGTGCTGATTTAATCTAGTGGGTCTAGTCAAAGACTATAGAATACCCAAGACGTGTCACTCATATAGTTTTGAATGGGGAAAAATGAATAGCTCAATATGGCCGCTCAATCGTAGGAAGCCCTGCCTTCTGAATGAAAGAGCCAATCGCTAATCAGTAAAGTCAGCGCATCACTGCAGCTGCCATTAGAAGAGTCCCGGTTGTTATAGAAACAGTCAGCGTTCTGAGACGTGCGCTTAGGACTGCGCATATGCACTGGCTGATCTAGCCTGAAAAAATAAGCTTTTTATAACGCTATTTGAGCAAAAGAATCTACATTTATGACACAGTTGTTGTCAGATTTCATTGGTGATTTCAAATATGGAATTTAATCGTAAGCTTAGTGAACAGTTTGGGAGAATTTAATGTTTCCCCATACAAAGTGATAGGAGCTGCACTTGCATGCCCGAAAGGCATTTCAAAGATGGTCGCCGAGTGACATGACTTGCCTTAAAGGGACTTTGGTCTAGTCAAAGCCACTAGAAGGCAAGCCTGCAACCATTAGCCAAAAAAGCGTAACGGCTAAAGCTAATGCTTCCTGTCTGGCAGTACGTGGGAAAGGAGACCAGAGGCCGTTTTTTTTTATTGATGTCAATGGAGGAGAGGCTTCACTACGCTGAATAAACAGCTTTTTAGAGGAAAGGGTTTGGGAGTAACGGAATACATGTAACAGCGGTACATAATCAGAATACAAAAATCTAGTAACTGTAATCCGTTACAGTTACATTACAAAAAACTAAGTATTCAGATTACAGTTACATTTAGTAAAAAAGTGGGAATACTATCAGGATTACATTTGTTTAATTTAAAATTAAATAAATGAGTATTTTGACATAACGCTAGGAAATTTCACAGTTATTTTGTTTTCAAAGAGGATAAAGGAAATACCATAGTTGTACAGCGTAAGCTATGCATGAAGACTCTTGCTTTGGGGGAAGTCGTGGCCTAATGGTTAGAGAGTCGGACTCGTAACCCAACCACACCCCGGATCAGTCAATGAAATAAAGAAAGATCATAGCATTTCACATGCATTTCGACATGTAGGCTGATTTTAAAATAGACTAATATGAATGGTGTAAATTTGTTAATGTTGTGTATAAACTATATTTATTTTTGCTTATACATGTTAAAGAAAAATAAATAAATAATAATAATAAAAATAAAACTGTAATACTAATCTGTATAGCCACTAGACCTCTGCATAGCCTTTTATATAAATATACGGCCTGTAATAGATGGTTTTAATAGTTTCAAATAGTTTTTACTATAGTTTTTATTAGTTTTATTTTTAAATTAAGTCATAGTTAAATAAAAGTACTTAGATATTGCTTTTTTGACTTATTTACATATGTAACTTGAAGTAATCCAAAAGTAATCAGATTACATTACTTTTATATTGTGGTACTTGGATTAAGTTACTGAATACTTTTTTAATTAAGTAATTTGTAACTGTAACCAGTACCGCCGCTCCCTATACGCAGAGTACGCAGTTTGCGTAGGGCACCAACTCCCAGGGGGGGCACCATCCCAGTAGCTCAAAAAAAAAACTTTAGTTCTATATTATTATTAACATATACATAAGTAAAATAATGAATTTTACTGTGCATTAGGCTGTGCAGTAGGCTAAGCACACGCACCATTCACGCCCGCGCCGTCAAATCACATTTGCGGCTGACAGCAAATGATCATAATCAGCAGTCCAGCGCCGAGAAAAGAAAAAGAAAAAAAGCCCAAGATGAAGCCTGTGTATCACTTTCAGGTACATTCATTATCCTATTAAACTTTTTGGCTGTTAACGTTAATAACGTGTTTTACTGTCGGCAATAATTTTATCACCACGCATCTGCCTTAATATTAGTTTCCATGGCTTAAAATGCATTAGGCTTTATAAAAACGAGGCAATAATGATAATTAATAATAGGGTTTAATCGAATAACACTGTTAAAATACATAATGTAGGCTAATACAAAATAAACAATTTATATACATTACATATTATTACAAATGCCTGTAAAGGGCGCCAAAGGCCTTATAATTGCTGTTGTTTCACTTAGCTACAGGACGATCAAATCCTTGTTTAATAGCCTATTGACCAAACATTTAATTCAAATATCCACTTAATCTTGCGATAGAAATGCTACAGCCTCTATAATTTCTTCAACAAAAACATGTGGACATCACAACACTTGCCAAAATTAACCATGGTTATATCGTAGTAAAATTGCTTAATTTTCTTTTGTCTGATTTCTGAATGCGTGAGACTATAAAATCAATCAGATAACTGTATTAATAAAATCATAGCCATAGGTAACTGTAATTTATAAATTATACAATTTAATTACAATTTATTATAATTTTTTTTTTTTTTTACTTTTATATTTTATTAAAGTTATATTTTGACTCCTATAGTAGGTGTTATATTTACGACTGACGCAGACGACTAACTGCACCTGTTTCTGAATATGTAGGCCTATTAATTTCAATAATGAATGAAATATTAAAAAAAAAATCACAAACATGACATTTCTGAATAAAATAATTGTATACACTTTAGTTATATCTAATTTGGCATTTTCAATTAATGTAGGCCTGTTACATTCTTCTGATTATTAGGCCTAATATTATTAAGTTACTTTTATTATTAAATTAATATTACAAATATTACAAGTCTTTCAAAACAGGTTTATTATACAATGAATTATAGGCATATATTTAAAATTATTAACACTGCAATCATCAATAAAAAAAGTTTTATTTCAAGCACCAGCTTTTTTTTTAAAGAAAAAAAAACAACATGTTTAACACAAAATACGTTTCTTCTCTCTTTATTTATTTATTTTATACATTTATTTATTTATTTATTTATTCCACTAGCTTATGTTCGGGCCACAAGAGAAATATTAAGGGAGTAAATTAAAACATTTAGCTAGATACCGTTATCAGCATATGAAGTATATTCGTCTCTCGTCGTCTCTGAGAGAATATGCGCCGTTAATGCAGCGTCAGATGCCGAAAAGTCAGTTTTTACTTTCACTTTCTAGTGAATCGACTGAGATTAAGAGGTTCACGGCAAACTCTTGTGCAAAATTTGCACGTTGCTTGTGTGATATCCATTGGCTCGCCTTCCTGGTTTAAAACAAATATTTACAATATTGCGACATAACCAGCCTCCACCACCCACCCTTGAGTTCGGGGTTAAGGGCTGCGGATTTGCGCTACGCCACTGGACTCCGTCCGTAAATTAGCCTAGTGCCCGCTCACTTTTATGGAACGATATTCCGGACAATTTTCAAATAGAATAGCAAA